CTACAGAGTTTTCTAGCTAGCTGTACTGCCACGTTCATCTCATACAGCTAGCCGCAGCTAGCTTTATTTTCACAAACTTCTTCGTTTGCATATAAACACCTTTTGTGGTGTATGATGAGTATCTATGCACCTTAGCCCCCCCCAGCTAGCTAGCTGAGCTAGGCTCGGACCTCGCCGTACAGCTAGCTGTAGCTAGCTATTAACTGCAGCTAGCCGTAGCTAGCCATATGTGGCAGTTCCTATAAAACTTGCATGCATATGCATGCCGGGGGATACTGCATGCGCTGCATGCAGCTGTTTCTGTCTCTTTCTTTTTTGTTTTCCGTCACCAGTGGCGTTTCTGTTTATATTGCGAATTGTCCCTGTATGCTTTTGTTTTATTTCCTGTTTGCATGCATGCTTATACGCATATATGCATAAGTTTATACATATACATATGTACTTATATATATATACATATATATATATATATATATATATATATATATATGTGTATATATAGAATGAATTATGCCAGCCAGTAGCGGCTGGGTAACAGCAACAAGCCTTCCTCTCCTCTCTCTAGCATTCTTTTCATCTCTCTCTCCCTCTACATACATACATATATACATATATATATATATGTATATATATTTATATATATACATATATATACATACATTATGCAACTGACATCCCCTAGCAGCGGATGCATCCATTCTCATATGTTGCTGCCGTAGTTGCAGCACAAGGGGGAGCAGCGAGGAGCGTTGTCTGTGTTGTTTTTTTGTATCTCTATCACTAGCTGCATGCATGCTAGCTTGATGGGGCTGCATGCATGCAGCTAGATGTATGCATCTTTTACTCTAACCCTCGCGTATTCTCTCTCTCTTGCAGCTGTCGTAACAGCCCTCAAACAAAGTAAACAACAAACGCCAGCAACCAACGGCAACAAACAGAGCCACACACACACACACACACACACAGTGTGCATGCATACCTGAAATGCATGCAAAACTCTGCATGCAAACATACAGAAAAAGGGTTTAACTAAAAGGGTTCATAGCGACACACACACACAGTGAACGTCCAGCCCCCACGGGGTGTATAGACACTCCTCTTTCTAGCGCTATAAGCAGTTACTGAGACTCCATAACTTTGTTTGCAGCAAAATTAAAAAGTAGAAGTAATGTCTATTCCCTGTACCCTTCATTTCAAGCTGTCTGTGTTCGGACCCCTCTGGTTGGTGTATACACCCTGGGGTGTATGCACATACACCCCAATATACAGGATATTTTCATGTGAAACTTTCACTTTTTTTTTTTTGCTTCTATTCAGAAAATAAAAATATCACTAAACGGAAACAAACAAAACTGCACCCGTGCTCTGTGCGTTCCTCTCTCGCACTGTCGGGGTGTATACTGAAATACCTTTTTTTTTTTTCTGTGTCTAATTGGTATTTGCCATCCAAAAACAAAATTTAAAACAAAAAATATAAAAAAATTAAATTAACACACTAGAATATTTTTCACTCCCAGAAAACAGCAGACAGGAAGAGGCTTTATTTCTGCACACAGGTGAGGAGAGAGGGGTGCTGCTGCTGCTGCTGCTGCTGCTGCTGTTGTTGCTGCTGCTGCTGCGGCTGCTGCTGCTGGTGTTTATCGTTGCGTGTCTGTTATATATAACCAAACGTAAAAAAATGTTTTATAAAATAGATATAAGAATTTGAATGGAGTGAAGCATAGATAAATAATTTATCTAAAGGGAAAGGNGTTTTATAAAATAGATATAAGAATTTGAATGGAGTGAAGCATAGATAAATAATTTATCTAAAGGGAAAGGGGGGGGAGAGGAGCTAGCCAGGGGGGGGGAGGTGCTAGCCCCCCGCTGCAGCGAACCTCCCCTCGGTGGTGTCGCTGCTGCTGCGGTGGGGGGTGTCTATGAGCAGCGTGGTTGTTTCGCACAACTCATCTTTCTGCTGAGTCCTTTGGTAATGAGTACTGGAAAAGAAACGAAAATGGCTTCTAAGAAGGCGGCGAAATCGGCGAAGCCCGCCAGCGGAAAGGGAAAAGGAAAGGGAAAGAGAAAGAGAGCTGAAACATACAGCTCATATATATTTAAGGTGCTGAAGCAGGTGCATCCAGAAACTGGTATCAGCAAGAAATCTATGATGATTATGACTTCTCTTATTGGTGATACATTCGATAAGATCGCCTCTGAAGCAGGAAAGCTATGCAAATACAACAAAAAGGATACCCTTTCTTCTCGTGAGGTTCAGACTGCTGTGCGGCTTGTTCTCCCCGGTGAATTAGCTAAACACGCTGTTTCTGAAGGAACCAAGGCAGTTACAAAATATACTGGAAAGTAAAAATTTTAAATAAAGGACGTATACAGCGATGGTTTTTGCCTAGATGAGTTCTGTTCACGGCCCTTCATCATCATTCGCTCGCGCTCTTTAGGCTTCACTAGAAGCCACCTTTTTTCTTTTTTTCTTTTCTATTCAATAAATAACATGTTTTTTTACTTTAATTTATTCGTATTCCAGTCGTTTCCTTGAAAAAAACCGCAGCTTTCCACAGCTTTCCATCCCTGTGTTTGGGGTGTATAGGCACCTCACGAGGAAAGCTGAAAGCTTTCCTCTGCAGGTGACGTTCAGTTTCATGTTTCTGAATATGCTGAACTGTTGGTTTCTTTCAATGCCTTTTACTTTCGATGTTTCTTCTTTCTTTTAGGCTCACATAGACTTGCAGCATCTTCATATACTTAAAAAATATACATATATACATTAAAACTTATACATAAANCTCACATAGACTTGCAGCATCTTCATATACTTAAAAAATATACATATATACATTAAAACTTATACATAAAAAAGAGGGGTTGTTGCAGGCGACGATAGATAGGTGTATAGCTGCAGTGATGCTGCGTACTTTTTCTATAGATTCCCTGACTGTTGCTGTAGGTGCAGGGTATTGAACTAGCTAGGCTTACCATGAAACAACAGCAGTAACAGCTCAATGCTCTGGTAGTACTAGCACTGAACTAGTAATAAGTAGAAACAGGGTTAGAAGCTACTCTACTACGTCACATATATTACATAGATACTATATATAGATTCTCTCTCTCTCTATATATATATATATACACTATGTAGGGAGCGAAGGAATGCTATTCAACGCTATATTAGTTCTCTGTTTCCGTCTACGGAAAGGAAAATCTATTATAACCCCCGGCGGGAGCGGCAGCAGAAGAAGCCCCAAAGAAATTCCATCAACTAGGCGAAGCACATGTGCTATATACACATACGCATGCATGCATGCATGCATATGCATGCATGCACGCGTGCGTGCGTATGCATGCGTGCATGCGTATGCATGCATGCATGCATGCATGTTCACAAGAAGAAACATCAATACATACTCAGCTACACAGCATGTGCATGCAAGAAGATGATGGATCTTTTGGGGCTTTCTTCATCGCCTGCCCAAGCCGCACGGTAGGTGTAATTTGTTTTTCTTTCCCTTAGTTTGTTATATATATGGATTGGTTGTTTTCTCTTAATATATATATGTATATATATATGTATATGTATATGTATATATATATGTATGTATATGTATGGATATGCATGCATGCATTCTTGCATGCATGCATGTACTCGTGCATGCATGCATAAGAATATATATTATATATATATATAATATGAATAAGTAATGATAGAATATTAATTTATGCTTTTACAGCTTCTGGCTGATGATGATTGTTATTAGTATTATTATTATTTTGTGTTTCATCAGGAGCAGCAGCATTTGCTGCTGCTGCTGCTGCTGCTGCTGCTGCTTTTTCTTTTTCTCTTTCCATAATAGAAGCAAAATCTTTTGTTTTTTTACATAAAATTGTTATCTTAGGAACATATCTTCTACGCGGAGAAGCAAAATATGCTGTCTCCACTTTCTCTATCGTCACACATCCTTCACTCTCTAACAATGCTGCTGTTCCTATTGCCACCTTTGTAGCCATACCCAAACCTGTATTCATATATATACACACACACATATATATAAATAAATTGTATATATATATATATATATATATATA